TAAATAATATAGTGTGGTTATTAAAATTATAGTTAATACAGTGTAAAGGTGTTATTCACAGCATGATATAACTGGCAGAGCTCTAGTTAGAATCAATGACAATACATTATTAAGAATGGGTATTACAAACAAGGAGCACAGGGAGGCAATTTGGAGGGAAATTTTAAAACTACGACTGAAAACGGACATTGTGGAGATAAGAGATTTGGAACGAGCAGATTTTAACTATGATTTGTGACACAGGGAGTCATACGAGGTTGTCACTCGTCAATCCATTTTTTTAAAACATGCGCTCAAACTGTTAAATGTTATAATAGCTTTAAGGTTTATGACACACCATAAATGGGAAAAGGAGAGCTAATTGATTGGGTTTGTTAGACTCGAGACTTGGAGATATTCTTGAACTGTTGAGACTTATGTTAAAAATTTATCATATTATATGTTAGCATACAGATATATTTCAAATTAATTATTAATAAAAGATGTTCCTATTAACGATTTATAAATATTTTCTTTAAAATGTTGGATGAATTCAAATATACTTGTAATATTTTGTTTTCTTCTTAAGGTGCTTTGAATGTATGTAAATAAACTGCTTTATAGAATGTAAAATAAAGTAAAAATTCCTTTGAAACAAGGTAAATAATAATGTTTGTATTTAACAAAATTATGTCTAACATAAAAAAAATCTTGTTTGATTAGATTTTTGCATTTATCAGTTCTGGGAAATTTCATATAATGTCTGCTAAAATACATAGTTATTTTTTGTCAATAATAAATTGTATGAAACATGTTACATTTTCATGTATTAAATATGAACATTCATAAATATATTGCATTTAAGAATTGATATTTTTAGTTAAGGTTATGTTTGACAATAATTATTTAGAACAACAAGAATTCTGTAGTTGTTCAAATAAAGTGATTTCTCAACTAGCTATATCTGTGTAGAATAAGAAATGTGATGCTCAAATTAATAAAACTTGTTGAACCTAATTTTTAGTATTATTATTTCGCTCAATACGTCCGTTAAAAAAATGGCGGATGAAAAAATTTCAAATAGATTTCTGAGAACAAAAGGTAAAAATCGTTTTAATTCCATTAAATTATAATCCGCCGATTTATGAGATAAATATTGATCAGTATTAACGTGATCAATATATTGTATCAATAAACATTGTTAAATACCGCGTATTGCGTCAAACGATTCCCGCTAAGCCGGCGCGGCGCGGCGTCCCGTCTCACTTCTGCTTAGCGAAACATAAATATTTGCTGATGATAGCAATTTACGACCGCTGAGAACACTCACATAAACTTTATATTGAATATATAATAAATAACTTTATATGGAATGTCGGTTTAGTGTACTGACCGATTTATATTTCCTTATAAAAGATTGAGATAAGAGTTCAATTTTTTATATAGAGATAACAAGTGGTGGGAACTCGGGAATCGACGCGCATTGACATCTGCGATATGAGAGGAATTGCTAATGCGTTGACGGTCTTTAAGAAGGTAATACACTCGCTTCTGATGCAGTTTTTTTTAAAAGCAATTAGAATTTTATCTCTTATGAATGTGGCTTGTGATATCTTGCGCAATCGAATGAAGCGCAAAAGATATATTATTCAACAATTTTGAATAAAAAAATGATTTTCCAATATATGATTGAGATAAACCAATGTTTGTTATTGTTATTCCTAATCCTGATTTTATATTCCATGATGTAAATAACTTTCTTAAAGATTAAAAAGGTAATTTAATTTTTCTCGTATGTTGTAAGTGTTCCACATTTTACTGCGAGTTTCGCGTCGTGTTGTGCAGAAGGCGCGGTATTCATCAGTCCCTACTTCATAAATTAAGACGCCTGGAAACGTGTTTCTTCAATGTTTGTATTTGTATCGGTTTCTTTGCAAATGGGTCGATGTATCCGTTTTTAATAGGATTACACTTATTGAACTTTAGACTCAACAGTCGAGAACACGGTGGGGTTGGTGGTAGACAAGGTTTTATAAATTAAGCCAAAATAATAAGGTTTACTTTATTCATTAACCTCGCGTGAGGTCAGGGGTGGCCTTTACTGTGTATTAGTATGACCCCAGTAAACTAAGGGACTGATAAAGTATAATTTAGCAAACATAAGTGCGGTAGTAGTAGGCTAGGAACAAAATGAGTTTTCTGTCTATGAGACTAAACTTTAAAGCTACGATTATATTATTATACAAAGATATTTAATTGCCATGTAAAATGGATAACAGATATATTCCCGGCGTACGCAGCACCATCTACGCTAGGGATATGATCTGCAGCGATGAACGAAGTGGAAATATGTTTATAGTGTTAAATTTGTTATGACTCGTAAGTGTTGAATGCAGGAATGGCGACGTGTTCAACATACGCGTTTTATATGTAATCTTTGTGGAATGCAGCTTGTTGGTGTTTATACTAATTTGGAGTTACAACGCAAACTAGTGAACAAAAGCTAAGGGAATTATATATAAATTAAATTAAATGTATCGCTACAGAAATAAATTATTTCTCGTCTCAACAGTTCAATCTTGAAAACGTTAGCACTAACGAAAAAGACTTGTAGAATAAAAGTTATCAAATAATATGCTGTATAACATTATTTATCCTAATAAACGATACCAGTTTACAATCTGCTCTATTAACCCGATTAGAGAAGTTAAATCAACAGTAGAGTGTAGATTTATAGTGGCCACTCGTACCCACCGTTTACTTTTTGTACTACAAATACCACGTACCGAAGCAGCACGGAGATGTGATCGCACTGTCGCGTCAGGAATGTACTACACAAGTCACTAGACATGGACGGGTTGTTAATGAGGTAGAGGATAGGTGTCCACAAAGAGAGCGATAAATGTGGCAAAGAAATTACAAAAACATTAACGACGAGAAGTGGAGTATATAATTCTTATTCTAGTGCCATTTTGGGGGAGAACTAAGTCTTGATTTGTAGGCTTTAGCAAGATTTTTGAGTTGAATTTCCAAAGAGTTCGTGTTTGCTTCTGTTAATTTTTTTAAGTCTGAAATAAATCGTATATGATGCCGCTTCAGTTCATGACAGCGTACAAAAGATTGTCGGCGCGGGCAGATGCTCCGAAATAGCCATTTTAATGACCCTCCTTTGTTTATTATTCTTGCCGGCGGCCGGCGATGGATGCGCTTATTATAACCCGACCGGGACATCGGCACGACACAATACTTTTACATATATCTGGTAGGAATTAATTGATCAGCAGCACGGATTACGTCGAACTATCAACGTTATGTTCAAGTTAGCACTTACAAATATAATGCAACAGCTAGTCTAGTTGGTTTTCAGTACTCACTTAAAACAAATAACCTCAAAATCCTACTTGTTAACATGAAAATGTTAGAAATGCAGAATTTCCAGAATTCAAAAGACTAACTATATCCCTTAATGTTTGAAATGTTCAAAGAACTTTGATGTTAGTACAACAATTGAAACATTTCTTGAAATTGACTCTAATTTTAGGGAAAACAACGTATGGTTTAGATCACATTTGTGTTGAAATGTCGTAATTTATAACACAAACAAACACTTCAGACATAAATATCATACACCGTAAAGAATCCTTTTGAAATTGAAGAGTAAACGTTTTGTTATAGGTCCCATGTAACATTTCTGGCACTTTTGTTGGCTCTGTTATGGTTAGTGAGGGTGAGGGCGGAGGGCGAGCTATTCTGACGTTAACTTTGTCAAGAATGGCCAGTCCCCAATGGGCACTAGCGGCCAGCAGTGTGCGGACACAGTCAGCCGGCAGTGCAACGCGACCATCACAAGTGCGCGAGCCCGCGTCCGCCCGCCATCATTAAATTTTTCCCGCCTTTGATCTCTGTAAAGATTATAGATAAAAATAATTATTTATTAAAGTATAAAATTATTTTTTAGTGTTTTAAGTGTTGTGAAATATAGCTTCGGAAGATTACCGGAGGTTTGTTTATAATTTGATTTGTTTTATGAATTAACAATTTTTATTTATAATTCTATTTATTTTAGTCGAATTTTCACGTGTTTGTCAGATTGCGTTATGTGTATTATTTTTATAGGACGTAATAATACATTTATTTCATATTTTGAATTTGAAATAAGTAAAAAATACCGACTTAAATGCAAATAATACTAGACGCTTCGATATTATACTTTAATTTCTATATTATTTCGATTAGTTAAGTAAGGATATAATATAAATATTAATAAACAGCTGATTTACAACAGCAATTATTAAAGAATTAAATAAAATGTCGCAATGTAACTTATCTCAACTTCTAACCTTAAAAACTTATAGTTTCAATAGTTACAGGGCTTAGAAATGTTGCGTAGCGCTGTCGTAGCTTTTTCAAGTCCTCTACGTACAATGTCGTAGCATGCTATACTTTTTCATACATTGTAATCAAATAAATCGTAAAAGAGAAAATAATGGAACGGTAAATTCTGTTAATTTTGACGACGTACGCATATGGAGTTAAGGCCCGTTCGTCATTTAAAATCGCAAAAAAAATTTCGCGTTGTTTTGGACGATTTGTTATCTACGTTTCTACGGTTATTTTTTAGCGGACTTTGAATTTTAATCAAATGTATTATAGACTAGCTGTTGCTCGCGACTTTGTCTGCATGAAATTAAAAAAATAATAAAAACATATTATAGCTTATGTAACTAACCCATAACGTAGCAATTTAATGGTCTTAAAATTTTTCGGTTTTAGAAATCTACATATTCACTAGGTGATATAGGCTATATTTACAGAAAATATATGAAACAAACATTCTTTATCAGCCAAGAGAAGCTAGGGTTAAATACAATTACAAAATTATATATGTATTTGCCGAACCCTAAGCCATAAAAATGTTTTCTATTACGTGATATTTATCCAAACTGCTCTGGAAGTTGACAGAACAGTTAAGAATAACAGTTTATTTCCGCAGTCGAATAGAAATTAAAATGTGAACGCATCGCTATAAATGTTTTAGATATCTGTGCGAGTTATAAAAATGTTGCAATGATTAAATTTAACATATACAACAATAATTTATTGCCAGAAATAGAATTATTTAAACACTAGCTTTCGTCTGCGACTCCGTCCGCGTGGAATTATTAACAAAAGTGAGTATCTTATGTGTTCTTCCAGACTATCCTCCACATCTATGCCAAGTTTCACCGAAATCCGTTCAGCCGTTTAGGCTACAAACTCTAACAAACATCCATTCAAACATTCCCATTTATAATATTAGTATGATTTGTGAGAAATCAAAGAGTAATTAAGAACGGCTTATCTGGTTGGGGTCACAGGACGATCATAAGTGAGTTAAGTCTACCAATAACTTACTTTATCAGATACAGAACTAGATTATTATCCTCTGGACTTTCCCCTACTTAGTAGGGTTGGTAAAGTTTCTCGTCTCTATCGATCTAACTTCCATCATCTCAGTCGTTACTTCCTTGTCATTTGTTCGCTTGTCTAGTTATCTAGCTACTTTCTGTATTAACGCTTGCTTAAAAAAAATTCTGATACTAGCTTTCGTCCGTGACTCCGTCCGCGTGGATTTAAAAAAAAAAACAACGGTACGTATCCTATGTGTTCAGACTATTCTTTATATCGTTGCTAAATTTAATAGAAATCAGTTCAGTCATTTAGTCTACAAACTCTAACAAACATCCATTAATCTATCCAAACTTTCGCATTTATAATATAGTAACTAAGTTTAGTAAGATTTCAACAGTTTAAGTTTTATAACACAAATAAAAAAGACAACATAAGTAAAGATTGGTAGTGGCATTAGTAAGCATTCCGTCAGCAGACGCAGGCGCCGGCTGCCAAGCGGGGTGGCATCTACTCGTGTGTGCCACGTAAGATCGCTGACTGATCGCACGTCGTCGCACTCTCGTTATGCACATTCTATTGGACGATTGCTCTTCAATTATGTTTACTAGTGGAATATCTACGAGATTACAAAATAAGCGACATAAGAAAAAACAAATTATACAATAATGCTATGGTAATATATACGTTGTTGTTAATAATGATTTACTGTTTCCGGTGTCCAATTTCAGTCATCACGAAAACGAATTTTCCTTTTCCAATTATCGGCACAGTGTCACGAGCTATTTCGATTCTTATGTAAACTTTGTAACACAATGTGTTTCAGTTTAGTCCATTAAAACATATTTTAATGGTACAATAAATTCTGCCTTCAATTAAAAATGATGCCAAGAATTTTGCGTTCAAACGCTTATATAAAACTTTTTACATACAAATATATTTTTAATACTATAAAAGCAATATAAATAAATATGCGTGTGTATAGTGAAAATCGGCCTAGTTTTCACATGAACTTGGCAAAACGTTAACAATTATGCAGTGCAGTGAACATGGCGTGCTGTAATTAGTCGTTGGGAGGAGTGCCAAGCAGTGCCAGTCTGCCAGCGGCCTAGCACGCTGGTATAACTAATTAAGGAACGCAAATGAAAATGTACATTTCTCTGGCATACTTGTTTTAAGAGTAATTTGTAACTCACACTAAAGTCACGTAAGACAGGGCTTAAATAAGTAAAGACTACATCATTGTATTTTATGACAAAGTATAAATCTTAATTTTATAAGGAGCACGCTTGTTTTCACCTCTAAGTTATTAGGACTAGAATTTGAAATAAAACTTACAACTTGATTTTATTTTATACCATAATCTGTACAATACAATGCAATCGTACTCTAACATTAATTAAATATGAGTACGTTGCATTAAATTAATATAATAAGACTAGAGTGTGCTGCTGTCCTTAGCTCCACGCGGTCGGCAGCAGACGGCACGCGGTTGCCAAGTCTGTTAAGTTTGCCAACTCTGGCTGGTCGCTAGGAAGTGCCAAACACACGTCGCGATATTGTGATTTACATCGGTCCAAACACAAAGGCAGGTTTACACTAAACCTGGTTGTACTTTTATGGGCTACAAGGGTTACAATCTATATAGTAGTCGTTTTACTAATGTCAAAATAATAAATAAATTTAATTGGTTTAAAATTTTCATTTTGTCAGAAAGAACCGACTAAAATAAACGCCCAAGTCAACTACGTAAAAGTTTTCATCGTGTTTAAACTTTTATTATGAAATGGTGTCGTCACAACAAACACAGTTTGTCATTTTAATGGTTTCCATTAATCTAGTAACTCTTTGGTATTTATTATTTTTAGTCAGCTAATAGAGTGGTACCAATTCTATTAATATAATGTTGCTACGAATAAATATTTCTTGAACCTAATGAAAACAGTAAAGGCGTTGTCAGGCGATGATCTGAGGTTTAAGGGGCCAGGTATTCCCATGCCTCCACTCTGCCACGTCTATAAAAAAGAGCAAACTTTCATCTTCGTTTCTATCTTTATTAGAGGCAAAACTTTAGTTGTAAATTTTGTAGAACTTAAAAGACAATATCATAGGAGCATTAGTGTTATTTTCGGGTCTATATAAAATACGCAATACAAAGTTGGCATGTCGAAATGGAGTTGACCGACAGCGAATACGTGAGGCCGATATATGTCGCTCACTAGTGATTTACTCCCGCCCCGTCTAGTGTGACAGTGGCACGCAATTACTATGCATTGTGTTTTTTATAGTTGTTACACGTTGTTCTGAATTATTGCAATTCTAATATTAATTTATAGTTTTATGGGATTTTATTATGGTTTCTTTTTTTACTTTTAACTTTCGTCAACTCTTTAAACGCAAAGAAAATAACTACTAATAAGCTGGTTGTCTTCTAATTAAATAAACAGCTTATTATGTTTACGTCGTTATACTTAAAATAGATTTAACCTGTGTTCTGTTTTATATGCATTGAAGCCGTATATAGGAACATGATTATGTCTTAAAGATTTATAAAGCTATGCACTATATTGGTTTCTCTTGATTAATTCTTTCGTCTTGAACTCCTCCTAGTTACTTAATTTGTATGTTTTTTCCATGATTATAGTTGGTGTTATTTCCATTTGTTTGATTAGTAAACTGCGTCAGATATTTTAGAATTCAGGACAGCATTAACACGATAGCGGAATGTTTACGGAGGCGCGGGAATTGTGTTGCGTAAACGACAGACGGGATTTCATTTCATTAATTTCTAAACTATTTCAACAATTGTTTGAAATGCAATTGTTACGTAAATAAAATTTTTGTTGTAAATTGTACATTAGTTCTTGATATAAAATAATCTTTAGTCGAGTAGCATAGCATTTATCAAAAACATAACCTACAAGTAATTGTACTCTATAAACTTGAGTCTTTTATATATTTTGGATCAATATAACACGAAACCAGTACGTATTTTGCAAACACGCGTTGACAATTTGTCCTGTCTTTGAAGTCGCTCATTAAAAATCTTTGTTTTCGTTACAGATCTGAAGCCAAGTCGACATGAATAAAAAGTCGCATAAGAAAAAGGTACGTATGTGCATTTTAATTTTTCATTAGCGCTTTGAAAATGAATATTTCCTTTTTTAAAGACCGATACTCAAATTTAAATACAGATACGATAACTTGATATATTATGCTTCTTGAAAAGAAAGGGTAAGTCTATCTAAGGATCTATCTCAATTCTACTTACGAATGTAATTTATGCTGGAGCCTTCAGTTTAGAATGTAAACAGAAATCTAAAGGTTTTATGAGTTGGCGGGAACATGTCAACCACGTCTTGGCTACGTCTGGCAGCCGCTAAACATTGGCACGCACAATACGTCATTACACACGACGAACTATAACAAACATTTCATAGGCAAATTTTATCGACCTGTATCTTCTAATCTAAAGTTATCAGGTATAGCGAATTATATGATTCTCTTGCTGTTTCTTAATCGTGATTCCAATTAATGCATGTTATTCTGTCTATAAGTATCTTGGTTGTTAGTTCCAGAACAGCTGTTCCCATGGTTTCCACAACAGTTGTTTTAACAGCGCACTAAACGACATTGAAATGTTTTAATAGTTGTGCGCGCCGCAGTCCGCTCGTTAATTCCTCGCTCGCACTATAAATATAAGCAGATGAATTTATTACCAGACAGAAGATTAATTCGATAAACATTCGCAAGTCAAAATGTTTATCTAATATGTGTTACGGTCCGTTGTAAATGATCCTAATTAAAGATGCGTAGTGAGACGTTCGGAGCAGATATTCTTTACAGCGATTAAAATAATCATGCCAACATCTGTGTTAAGGAACCGATTTCAGTGGTGATTGAGACAGTTAAACCCCCATTTATTTAAAAAAATGCTAGCAACACTCATAATTATTGCAGCTTTTCACGGTGACAATTACCATATTGACATCGAGTGATCCAAATTATCACAAGAAAAATCAAACAGAAAAATGGGACCCACCTGCAAGCACTACCTTTCGGATAAAAAAAGAATTATCAAAATCGGTCCACTAGCAGCGGAGTTATGCCGTAACACACTTAAAAAACATACAGACGAATTGAGTACCTCCTTCTTTTGGGAAGTCGGTCAGTCGGACATTATGTGTATCAGATATAGTAAACAAAATATTGTTAGATTTTAGTCGTGAATCATTTTTATATGTACTTATAATTGGAGCAAAATATTAAATGATGTCGTTGAGGCGAGTCGATCATAATTACTGTGTCATTAGTGTCCAAGAGTTGGAGAAGTGTACTCCGACGTTCTCAAGCAGCTTACGACAAAATGTAATTAATAACAGATCGTAGCAATTAATAACGAACTTTCTGTGAGATAGATAACTATTATATACTATACACTATCGCCATCAGAATAAACACAAATAATATAATTTTTAAAATGGATTACAGCAATAAGACTCTAGCCGATAACTATAACGTATTCACTATGCACAATTAGGATAGTAAACCTGTTCCTTACCTATAAAATTCAAACAAAACGCATATAGACTATAAATAAAACTTGGTCAAAATTAAATAATTTTAATTGAACATCGTCAAACCGGACGCGGGATGTCACGGCGCGTCAGCTGTCAGCGCGGCGCACGTCACCGCGACAGATTCGTTTCACGCAACATTAACGATTTGCAATAAATTATTTTTAACTTTATCTGTCGAGTTTTAAATTGGCTCAGTACCACGACTCCCCGCACTATATCACCGAGCTCTAATCTTATAATCTGAGCCAATAAATGTTTCTTTTGCGATTGTAAGTGAGATTATTAGAGAGATTTTGTGTAATCATATGTTTAAACACAAGGCACAGACTAAGTTGACAGATTTTTCAGCGCAGTTTTCTTTCCTGGTTACATTTTCTCCGATTTTTTTTTATTTATCTTTTAGTGGACACACTCTAATTTTTAAATGTAACCATGTTTTAAGTTAGCAATTTTGCGTAAAACTAAGATGACTTAAAGTTAAAAGTATGCAAGGCTATTATTTGGTGTTAAGCTTGTATGCTATATTCTTCATCAATATTCATGTCTTAAACACTTAGCAACAGCCTCTTAGCAATAATTATTTTTGAAATTGATAAGCTTTGATGATTCCTGTTTGCAGCCAAGCGGCCACACTCGCCTCGCATTTGTTTCTTGGCAGTGAATTGTTTTCGCGATGTTTTAAAATACGCGAAACGCGTAACTAACCTATTGTCCCCGTGCGATTGGACGGCGTTCAAATGGCGGACGATCTCGCGGCGATAATGCGCCGTAACGACCTTTATTATGAGTGTATGTGGCTCAAGGAGCGCGGGTATTCTGGATTTGTGGCGCTAACTGCCCGGAGCTTGATGCTATGCAATTTGATCTTTATTGAACTATCCATAAATATCTTTGGAAAATCATAAAATCAAAGATAACCAAGTTACTTATTAACCTATCTGTTAATTCAGACAGTTATAAATACCTATTAAAATTCCTTTAGCTGTTCTAAAGTTACGTTTTAACAAATTAACACAGTTGAAATCTTTGTAAAACTAACTTGAAATGCAAATCACAGATCCAAGAATCTTTGCAAAACTTGCGAATCTAAAATATCACAATCCTAGTAGGATTATCCTACTCAACTATAAGGCGCAATGTACCTACTCGTTGGTCAATCCATACTTTTATGGCAAAGTATAATTTATCGTCAAAACTTATTACTAAGAGTATGTTCTAGTTTTCTGAGAACTTTTAAACATAAAAAAATGATATAAACTAATTGCTCACATAAATCTAATGTAAAATGGTTCTAAAAACACTTTGAAAAAAACTGTAAAGTCCGGTCACACGACATTCGTATTTTAAAATGATTAACAGGCGAATGTTTTGACACACTTCATAATGTAGCCAAGTAGACACAGAGAAGTTCAGTGGAACTGGTTAAACTAAAGTTAGGTTAATTACAGAGGATAAGATTCAAAACTAACTAGAATTAATGTAGTTTATTATTTCTATTTCGGTAAAACTTTAATCTAACCTTCAAATGACCTTTCTGGTGGTGAAAAGTTTAAGGTTAAGATACATTTTAGTATTTTCCACAATTTCACAAAGTTATTTCAACTCTTTCTGTTTAATTCGAGCTGCACTTCAAATTTTAAATACGAGCAATATAACTATCAGCATCTCTGCTGAAGGCGGTTTGAAATTGAACATTACGTTGTATTGGCTGACTGTCAGATCACAAGTTTATGACTAGAGAATTTATAAGGACTGATACACATGGTAAATTAGCAGTTAGGAATACACAATTTAACTGCAAAGTTAGTAAAACAACATAGTTAGATCTTCTTCTTTCCTTTTATCTTCAGTTTTCTCAAATAATTATCTTCTTTTCGTTTGTGTTACGAATTAAATGCTTCTTCTACTTAAGCTCTATTCTCATCAATTGACCGAATCAATCAGCTCGGTAGTAAGATTGTGAAAATGAAATGAATTGGTTAAATGTTGACGAAATCTACAAACATGAAAATCAGACTAACAAACAGGTGTTGAGCGTCCACACGCATGTTCACACCTTTATCTATTTCACGGCCATCGGATACATCCGCGGGGTTATGAAATAGGTTTTTACATCGTGCCATTGGCACGGGGAGTCAAGTGGTGTACGGAAATACACCCAGACAACGCCTACCGGCTCCAAGCACTCATTCATAAAGCTCGTACGTCACGGAGCAGACACGCGGTGGCCGACGCTGATCCATTCACAAATATCACGCATTCGCTCCAGCCTGGACGAAAGAATCGCTCATGTTGAGCTGCATACACTGCGTGAGTGCTCCTGCAAACTTTGTGAAAGACACTTCGAAAATAACAGTTTTCATAGACGCTTACTGGGATGCTTTATGTTGTAGCAAAAGAAACGCGGCAAAGGCGACTGTCGCAACAAAGAGAACCAGGAAGATGTACAGACTTCGGAGCCGACCCAGGAGCAGTCGCCAGCCAAGTCACAAGACGACCTCTGCTACGAGGTCAAGCACTCTGATGTCATGGGCAGGTAAGCACAGAACATTTTTTGCCTTACTTTTTAATGAACTTTGAACACATGTTTGTGTAAGAGTTACCCTTCAAGTCATTCGTAGACAGATCTTAAGAGTTGCAGCGTGATTTTTTATTTCTTTTGTGAATCTTGTGTTATATCTTGTTTACGAGTATATTGCATTATTAAAAACAAGTGAACGACATACTTGTTTTGTGTATTCAGTAAAAATAGCTGTAATCTGCAGAGATTTATCTATTGTCGTCAGCAAAAGGGAAAGTAGTTGATAATTCTTCGAAATGTTCTCATTAACACAATCTTTATTTATTCGAATCGTGTTTATCAATATGTCGTGTTAATGCTCGTTGTAAACAATAAAAAGTATTAATATATCGTTAGTAGTAAATAGTAGAATTTATTGCTCTCACCGAATCCAATTTGATCGATTTATGTGTTAGATTTTACCGGTTTATGTTAGTTTTATAGTTTCTGCGTAAACTAAACACAGTAATCTTAGAAAATCATTTTCTTTTAATATAAGTAATTGAGTGGTAAAAAAGACAAGAGATGTTTAGAAATTGCACAATAAAATGGTTTTAAGACATAATATTTTAGTCTATAACAGACGCTTAATAAAGATTTTCTTTCGAACCTCTCGGTGCTGTAATATTTAATGGAACGTGACACATGACTTGTCACGCTGGTTCGTAGCACGTGCGGCGTGTCAACACCCGTGTCCAGTCGCACACGTTTGCTCCAACACGTAACAAATGGAGCCAACAGCCATCAACGTGTTTACGTTGCGTTAATTAATGAAACAGCTGTCTATTGTCACGCTACGTGTCGTATGGGAGTACCACTGTTATCACGCGAGCGTGACCCCAGGAGGCACTTACGATGATTAGTTCATCTTTCAACATTCTAAATACGACCTAACCACACAGGTTTTAATACGGAAAAAATATTTGGATGAATTTGAGCAATCTGCCTATTGCCAATATTTCTTTGACATTGTTTTTTAACATTGTAGTTAATATGTTCGTGTGTAGGTACGTGGTGGCTCGGCGGGAGATCGCCGCTGGTGAGGTGATAATGGAAGAGCCGGCGCTGGTGGTGGGCCCTTGCAGCGGCTGCGGCCTCATCTGCCTCGGCTGCTACCGTGAGCTTGACGACAACGCCATCGTAAAGTCAGTTTTACTCTTTAGGTTTTTGTATCATACATCCTATATAGCATTTTTAACTTGATATATCCTGTAGACAGAAGCTACGGTAAACTGTAACATCCTGGATCCTGAAAGGAGCACTTATTGATTTGAATATAGATGCAGATGATCATTGCATCTTTCCGCTTTTAATATTGTAGTAGAACTGCCATGGTCGTTAACTCTCAACTCAATCTAAAAGTTTATTGAAATTATTAAATAAATTAAAACATCTTACTGCTAATAAATATTGGCAATAAATCGGTTGAGGAGTAATAAAACCGGTAGGATCCAGTTAACGCTCGCGCAGTATCCCATCATGTCAGTCGAGCGCGAGAGCTTACGATATTTGCGTCAGTTGCTATTTCTAAATTGAGATTGCATTTTGCATTGGAATATGAACATATATCGGTAAATATTTTAATATTCTGTATATTTTTTTGTGAACTCTTTGTGTAAATATATCTCTTGGTGTCTAGATGCAAAGGCTGCTCTTGGCCGCTGTGCAGCGAGTCGTGTCCGGGGCAAGGCAAGTACACCGGGCACTCCGCCGCAGAGTGTACTACGCTGGGCGCCGTCACGCCAGACTACGACAACCTAGAAGAGTTGAAAGACTGCTATCATGCTATCACACCCTTGAGGTACACTCTATGTAGAATTATTCATTTACGAAAAACGAAGTTTAGCAATAAGTGTCGCAAAATTAAACGATATCGCATTTACATTTCAGATGTTTATTGTTGAAGAAAGAGGACCCTGCAAAGTGGGCGCTTGTGTGTGCGATGGAGGCGCACAACGAGCTGCGGCGGGCGCGCGCCGACATCTGGCCCGCCAATCAGAAGCATGTCGTCCGTCGCCTGCAGGAGTGGGGCCTGGACTACGACGAGGACGAGATACACACCGTCTGCGGTATACTTGAGGTAACTACTCATACTTTATCTACACGAAAGTACAGAATACAGATCATCCTTCACTTTGAACTTTAACTTAGTTTCAAACAGTCGCCGTGCCACCTGCATTTTGGAGCGATACAATATTTTCCTTGAAGCTTTGGCGTTCATGCTACTGTTGTGTCATGATACATTCGGTACTTGCAGGTGAACGCGTTCGAGGTCGGCGGCAGCGGGGCGAGCGCGCGCGCGCTGTACGACAAGGCGTACCTGCTGGCGCACGACTGCACGCCCAGCACCACGCACACGGACGCGGAGCGGCGCGCCGGCCGCCCGCTCACCGTGCGCGCCGCGCTGCCGCACCGCGCCGGGGACCTCGTCTCCCTCTGCTACGCCTACACGCTGCAGGTGAGCTAGCAGGTAACTACCAAATGTACCGCTACTGCCAGACATCTCTAATTGTGAAATACGCATAGAATGAATAAAAGTTACAGATTTCAGTAGTTTCTGTAAATATAAATATTAGAAGTAGAAAGAAGGAATTTCATTTTTGTTTACTGAACGACAAAGGATTTAATGAAGTAAATGCAATCAAACAAAAGCTAATAAAAAATCAAGTAAGAGTTAGCTACAACATTTTTTAAACGAAAAAAATCCTTCTAATTTCAGGGTACATTAAAACGTCGCGAGCACTTAAAGCTGAGCAAGTTCTTCGAGTGCGCGTGCAAGCGGTGCGCGGACCCCACGGAGCTGGGCACGTTCTGCAGCGCCTTCCGCTGCCCCAAGTGCGGCGGCCGCGTGCTGGCCAGCGCGCCGCTGCACGCGCACGCCGCCTGGCACTGCTCCGCCGCCGGCTGCAGCTACGCCATGCCCGTCGTCGCCGTGCAGATGCTTCTCAAGAGGTTGCAATTTTTACAGACATGCTAGAACTAGAATTATTTTTTTAGAATGGTCGAGATCTGAGATTCAGTTTTTTTACTGTGAACAATACCATATAACAGACCTATTTCATGTAGGGTATCACGTTCAGAACTTGGGGAAAAAGGGAAACTGATTCTATTAATTTAGAAAATCATCTAAAAGCGCGCGTTGACGGCGCACATCGCACAACTGTTTAGCTTTGTTGTGCTTTCTTTGAGCTTATATGGAGGTGCGCACACTACTCGAATCTTCTTTGTGTAACTAAACATTTGAATTGGCTGCAAAACAATAACTAATCACAACAACAGTGAGATAGTTTAGTAAGGTCGCGTTCCCGCTCTATGTATATTCCAGTAATTTTAGTAATTTCATCAGATTGACGGACGAGTTCGAGCAGATAGACGCCAACGACGTGTGCGGGTTCGAGGGCTTCATCCAGAAGTACAGCAGCGTGCTGCCGGCCAGCCACTACCTGTGCCTGTCGGCGCTGCACTCGCTGAGCCAGCTGTACGGCAAGGTGGCCGACTACATGATACACCAGATGACGGACGCGCAGCTGCAGCGCAAGGTGCAAGTCTGCAGGGACCTCATGAAGGTCTTCGATCACATCGAGCCGGGCTACTCCAGGTTGAGGGGTCAGTACCATTCAACTATTTTCTATGTTTTAAAATATTTAAATCTTTAATGAGATTATATCGTTTGTTGTAGGAATAACTTTGTATGAACTGCACGCTCCGCTCATGGTGTTGACGACGAGGGATTTCGAAAAGAAAGCAATCACTAAAGATAATCTCCGAGAGCGATTAAAAGAGGTTAGTCGGTAACTCTCAAGACGACAGTATTTTTCATTTACGTTGGATATATGTGTCATGTTGTTTAATTTCAGATTGTGGGCTATTTGACGGAGTCAGCGTTAATCCTGGGCTTCGAGCCGTCGCAGACCTCCGAGGGTCTGATGGCGTCTGCCGCCAGGGACGCGCTGAAGAAGATCAAGACTTGGGAGCAGATCATCGGCAAGATATCGTGAAATTAACATTGAAAAAAAAAAACACGCCAAAAACCGCTAGTTTTCTAATATTTTTTTGTGTAAATAAAATTGAAGTATACGAAAACAAAATTATTTATTACGGGTATAAATTTTAATGTCCATTACTGTTATTTTTTTATTTATAAAAGAGTATTTTGTTAATAAATTGTTGTTGTCATTATCTATGTTTTGTTTTATTAATTAACATAGTTAACACTAGCAAAAGTTTGTAATGCGATTGTTTTATAAAATTTTCCGGAATAATTATTTGAGATTTGTTGCCAACGACTTTGTAAAGTGAAGTTTGTTTATTGTTACTATAACAACTAATTTGATTGCTAGTTTAATGAAGTTTACCAAATGTTCAGTATTTCTTGTCGCTGTTCATTCCTTTAACTAAAAGACAATTGATTCAATAATAACTGTGTGCGTTATTTTTCGAGACTTATTGTAATTTGTAAGGACACTATTCTATGTACATTTAATGCTAAAATGATAATGATTTAATAAACTGCTAAGAAAACCAATTCGTTTTATTGATTTATTGATAAAATTGAAAATCGTCAAGATTTTTTAAACACTGTTATTAGCAACATTATAGTAAAGCGAAGTAGGGCGACCGCTCATGGTGCCCGGTTACTTAAAGTTGCGCCATAGACGCATAAAGTAACTTTATGGCTTTATCTGTGCCAAAATTCGTCCAGATCCATTCAGCAGTTTAGGCTACAAACTCTTAAAAACATCCATCTATCCATACAAACTTATGCAATTACAATATTTGAATAACTAAACTATGCATTTTAGTCGCGTATTGATTCATATGAGGTTATACGGAAGTGCGCACACTATTCGCACGACTCGCTGCGAAACAATCCACAACCGACAATCGCGCAACAGTTGTTCGATAGTTTAGTCAAAGGTCAAAAATCTTTGAGCGTACGCTGGATCAAAGATTTTTTCTCTATATTCCTCACTCCACAAGGAATCGGCACATCATTTTGCGTGTTTCATATATTTGTTATTTTCGACGTCACTCTCTTCTCGACCACCTCATATTTCGTCAAACACACCTCTTCTTATATATGCCACAGAATATTTCCTTGTTGTCCAGAGAATGCCACGCATATGTTAAATTCCGTAACAATCCCGAGGGTTATTTTTACCTCAGTGCACGCGGCAGCGGCTGGCCAGTCGCCCGGCACAGCGCGATCGGAACATATTACATGGATATTCGCGTTTAACACTCACTATCAAATAATTTCTACAATTAAACGTAGGTAATTATAGTGTTACTAATAATTAATTTGTAATTTCCTATCTTTTTAAAAATAACTGACAGAAATATTTCTTGCATGAAGCTCTGAATAACAGATTTGGTTATTTGTGCTATTTATTGACTCTAATTGTAGGTTCGAAATCTTCTGGCAAACATTTTAAAGCAGATCAATTGCTAAAATTTTTGATAACATTTTAGAAAATGGGGGAGCTAAACGAATGTGTGGTGTGCTCATCACCCGCGGAGCAGAAGTGCTCGGGGTGTCAGAGTGTCCACTACTGCTCGCGGGAGCATCAGAAGCAGGACTGGAGACAGCATAAGAATCACTGCACTCCTGCCAGGGTTAAAGAGGATTCCAAGTTCGGAAGGTATCTAGAAGCCACGAGAGATATCAAAGCTGGAGATGTTATTCTGAAAGAAGCGCCGCTCATAACTGGACCTGCCCAAGTAAGGCGACGTAAAAATTAACTAATTTTGCGTTCTGATAGAGTGCTAATTGAGAAATTCTGTAACAATTGAATTGTTCACTGTTCAGGTTACTCCACCGGTATGCCTGGGATGCTATAAGTTGCTAGAAGCTGGGAAGACGGTGTCCTGTATTGAATGCGGCTGGCCATTCTGCTCGGAGCCTTGCACCAGGAATGAAGTTCATAAACCGGAGTGTCATTATACTAAGAACAGGGGCGAAAAGGTGATATTTACTCAGACATTCTTTATACGCTTTAACTAGCTAATTTGCTGACACTAACATGAATATTTTGACTATTTAAGGTGACTATCTCGACATTCGGTATTCCACATCCTAATTACCAATGTATCACGGTCCTTCGCTGCTTGTACCAAAGAGACTATAATGAAAAGTTATGGACAAAACTGCAAAGCCTGGAGTCGCACTGCGCGGACCGTAAGGGCACCGACAAGTGGAACAATGACAAGAAGATGATCGCAGACTTTATTGTTAACTTCTTCAAACTAGGCAGAACCTTCGCCGAAGAAGAGATTATGAAGTGCTGCGGCATTATACAGGTAAAGAAATATTTTTTATCATGAGTACGTTTTGAATATATGACACCGATGTATATCATTACAACTTATTTTAGCGGTGCTATTTTTTACGAGCATATGTATCGTGTGCAGATCAACGGTCACGAGGTGCCACTACTGGAGCCTGAATACGTGGCAGTGTTCGAGCGTGTCTCTATGGCCGAGCACAGTTGCTGCGCTAACTGCAACAAGAGCTTCACTTCCGCGGGAGATATTGTAAGTACTTTGTTGTCACGTTTTATGATTTATAGAAGTGTTTTGGAAAGAAATAGGGAAAGTAGAAGTATTAAATAAGGATAGGTTATACATTTTAGGACATGGTCTGTGGTACTTACAGATTTTATGCGCGGGTGTGGACATACCCGCCGGCGGGCATATCTCAGTGTGCTACACGGATCCTCTGTGGGGCACGGAGGCGCGCCGGCACCATCTTGCCGATTCCAAGTTCTTTGAATGCACTTGTCCGCGTTGCACCGACGTCACCGAGTTCGGTACAATGTACAGCGCCGTCAAGTGCAAAAAGAAGTTAGTATAACTCAGCTTAATGACTCTTATCGTGCACAAGACTGCTAGAAGCTAAAAGATCAATGTATTTTACTTTTAGGGATTGCAAAGATTACCTCTTGCCTGACACTTTCGTCGTTCCGATACTGCACAAGACTACGTCCCCGGATCCGGCGAAGCGCGGTCTGGACGATAAGCTGTGGAAGTGCGGAAGCTGCAAGGACGCCGTCAGTGACGCCATCATACAGCAACTGCTTCAGGACATCGGCCGCGAGCTCAGCGTCATGCCTAAGGGAGACGTCGACGCCTGCGAGAGGTCGGTCACAAAGATTAGATAACATCATAATTACTACTACGCAAATTAAGACCTTCTTGTTTCGTATTTGTTAGTTTTTATCTAAGAATTTTTGCATAATTTGTTTCCACAATCAAAACATATTTATTTACTTTCACCATGTTTCATCACAATAACATTACTCAGCGATCCGAGGTATGACCTTCACAACAAAGTAACAATTCTCATGTTAGTGCAATAAGGAGTGAGCCGAGTTGTCATAACATTTGTTTTGGATTACACGGATTAGTAGAATATCGCGCGACAATTTCAGATTTCCCCTTCAACGTTCACATTTCATGGATTTTAATTACCAATAAAACGTTACATTATACACATAAAGATAAAGATAAAGATAGCTTTATTTCCCTTATGATTACATTTTTTGTTTACATATTTACGCTTATACTAAAAAAAACACTAACAAAATATACTAAGAAATTCAAAATCTGACAATAAAACGTAAAAACAAAAATGTAAATATTTGTTAGTACGGTTAGTGTTCTTAATTATACACATAGTTACATTTAAATACAAGATTTATCAATTAAGGTCCATCTGGAACTAAACTATCGCACTACTATTTAGTTGCTCTTTGATTCTTATGAGCACATATGGAGGTGCGCACAAAACTCAATTCTGAGTTGTGCAACTAAATAATCAAATAGAAGCGAAAGAATCGACAATCGCACAACTGTTTTGCGATAGTTAAGTCAAATGTGGACGTCCGCTCTTACTCTTATTATCGAGTCCAGTATTACTTATAGTTGTTCGTACCTACAGGTTCGTAAGCCATTGCGCCAGCTACTTGCACCCGGCGCACTACTACATGACGGATGTGAGCCTGGCGCTGGCGCAACTAGTCGGCCAGCAGCACGCACTCGGCCTCGCCGCCGTCACTGACGACCGTTTACTGCTAAAGACGCAGCTCTGTAGGAAGTTAGCTGACTTGCTTGAGACTCTGGCACCCGGTAAACTTATAGGGCAAACATACTAAGCAGTCAAAAGCTTTCACCAGTCGGCAACAGTTCGACGTCAACGGAACACAGTTTGTTGTCACTGTGAAGCAAACTGTGTGTGGGGCTTTTATACTTAGCTGATCCTTTCGCACAAAAAGTATCGTAAAAGTTCCATTGCATTTTTATGCTCAGACAAGGGTAAGGTTAATTTGCTTTCTTCAGCTGAGACGCGTCTGCGAGGCACACTACTGTTCGAACTACACGCGGCAGTGGCAGAGACCGGCAGGAGGAAGTCCGCAACCGACGGCCCGCACGTCATGCTTGGATACATCACTGTAAGTTTCTTGTCTTCACTTCTAATAGGTAAACAGAAACTTTAGTTATTAAGATCCCATATGTTTTTGTGACAGGAGTCGCGTAAGATCCTGGAGCAGTCTACCTGGCTGCTGCGGCATGAGCCGAGCGAGCTGCCGGAGGGGCAGGTTTGCCGGCAGGCACGCGCCAACCTGCTGCAGCTGGACGACCTTATCATCAAACTCTCCGCCGCGCTTCCCTCGCCCATTTAAACTTTTTAAAATAGTATTTATTTCAAAAAAAGACTTTTATTAAATACAACTGATTACATCATTCGAAATTTAGTGCTTATCTTAGATAAGGTAATTGAGTAGGACGGAATAGACTCTCACTGGCAATTAAATAAATACTCGTAAAGGACTAATAAAAATTGAATTTGAATTTTTACATTTGTTTACGTATTTAACTGTAACTATAAGCTACCGTTGAGTTGAGTACAGAGGTCGTCTAACTTTAGCGGGTATAAACGAAAAATAAACCGAAATAAAGACGTGAGATTGTTTTAGTATGTACGACTTCAATTAGCATAAAGAAACAGCTATTCCCCGCGTGTTTGCGGAGCGCGCGCGATATCTTTATGGCTATTTAGCGAGCGCGTAAACAGGCGCAGGAAATGTTTTGTTCCTCTATAAATTATTGTTATTTATTTTCATCATATCTTTCATCGTTATAATTGTATTCAAATCTATGTCAAGTTGTGTTTGTATTCGGTTATAGAATGAGGTTTGTACTTACTACGAGTATAACCAATCACGAAACAATCGTAGTTAATAAACTATTAAATTAACGTGAAAACTATAAGCTTTTCTAGACTAGATAAACTTATTGAAAAAAAAACAATCGGCAACTAAGTCTACACTTATACATCCTATTTACACAATTTTGAACATCTACTCATCTTGGAAAATGTTGGACGTAGCTTACAACTTATATGAATGAGACGGACAGAAGCACAAAGGGAGAGAAATAAGGAAATGAGATGAGAAGGTGAGAGGAGGGAGCGCCTTGATGAGGAGCTTACTATTTGGGCTGAAAACGTACCAGCATTTCAAAAACATTGCTCAACCAAAGCCATTAAACAAAAATCTTTAAGACAAACTTTTACAAACGTCAAATAAGTGTAATAAAAAAGATTGCATGTGTGTTGTATTACTGAAAATTAGTGTCGAATTGTAATGTAACGAGTTTGCTATCACATTAGCAAATAATACGGACCAATGGCATCTTCGGTAGGAAATCTGTGAGCATACGGCACGGCTTGCTAGTCTGCTCAGTGCGAGTACAGCTGGCGCCTGATGTGTAGCTCACAACTGCTCGAGTATACGACAGTAGTGATGGAGAGTCAAGTGAAAAACATCAAGTGGAAAAGTGTCACTTGTTACCCTTTTTGAGTGCAGTGTACAGGATATAGGAAAATGGATTGCAGATATAAAAGTAAACATAGTGCCTAATTGTTTAAATTGTGATACGAAAATTATAGCCAAATTTTTCGTGAAGGTTAAGCCAGCCGTCTTACTCTAATAGATTGTACAAACATCATATGTGCTAAGTAGGCTGACGCGGGCCGCTGTGCCCCCTGTGCCTGCTCGCCCACACTAACATCACAGCAAACTTCTATCACCTAAGAGCTGGATTTCTCAAAAAGGTAACAATAACATTAGACGAATATTGCGTGACAAAAATGTGAACATTAACAATATCAACATAGAAAGATAGAAAAACTCAGTTGAAACTCCGCCATAAAATTTGAAGAAGACCGATAAAGTATGAAAAAGGAAATGCTTAAGGGAATGAATTCAAATATGACAGCTGATTGAGATGTATGAAAGTGCAGTACATACCGTGCCAACCCTCCGTAGGGACAAGGACAGGTTAATGATAAAGAACATAAAACTGGAGCCAAATATTTGATCATAATTAAAAAGTTTGGCTTTACTGGTCAAAACCCTATGCTATTAATTGTCATTTAGAGACAATGTGTCAAGCAAAAAGATTCAAAGAAGTGTGTAAATATAGTTAGCACTTTGACGTCCTTGCAATCTTTCCAAGATAAAATTCATACTTTGCCATTAGTAGTAAAAAATTTACTAAACCATCAAGATTACCTTTTATTATTCATCCATCATAAATATACAAATTACAATTAATAATATAAGAACGACATTGCTTTCCATACATCACACCTGCCCTTGTCATCCCTTCATACTTTCTACGGTCTTCCTCTACCTTTGTAGACATTTACATTCAGTATTGCAATTGAAATATCCCCATACTGCACTTAGGTTTGTAGGTTCTATAATTTTAAAACACGATAATTAATGTTTGTTTAAATTACTTTCTAAAAACAAAGTAAGTGCTCAAAGAATCACTGTTCTTGGATCACTTTTTTCACTTTATAGATTCCTTCATAGAAACGTTTTTTACAGGCGGTCTGTTACGAGACATGTTCGTTGGCCATTACCTGTGGCTGCTGTTATGCTACGCGCAGTATTCGCGGAGCACCCTGCTCGACGAGTACAAGGATATCACCAACAACGTGCTGTCACCGCCAGAGGACGCTGCCGTCGCCCTGCCGGTGCAGCTCGCTGTAGACAAGACCTCTGGCTGTCTGTGCAGGACTAACAACAATCTTAAGATCATCGTATGCTTCGGAAATTACGAATGTAAACGCTTCCCTAAGGTAAGATTTCTTTATGGTGATTTTTGTAAATGCATATGAAAGAGAATGCTAGATTAAAAAAACATTTAGAAATCTTATGATGTTCAAAAGCGATGATTAATCTTTGTTGCTGGGTTATGAAAACTAGATTATGATCTTATTCGCTTATCTCACGGTAACGTATATAAGCAAGCTACATGTTTAACTAAAAGAAAATATCTAATCACAATCAAAAGCAACACAAAGATTTAACTATCAAAGTACAAATAGAAGGCGTCTATTACAACGAACGCAGGCGCAGGGCCTCCACTGCGCACACACCACCAGATAACAGATAGTTCTCGATCAATTCTAATTACGCAACAATACAATAGTAATATCTATGATAAATAAAAATATAACAATCCAAAAGCACGTTATCTTCATTGCAGAATGTTCTTTTCACTTCAGGTAAGCATCCGGAGTGATCTCCTCCGGGTTATAACGACGGTGATCACTGAGATACGAGTGGGAGAACTCGACGTCTTCCAGCACCTGGTAGTTCTCCAGATTGAAGCCAACCATAGGCTCAAGTATCTGGAGCCTGGAATCTTCCGCAACCTGACGAACCTCAAACAGTTATCAATATCCTATAACACGAGGCTAAACACATTACATAAACACACGTTCGAGGGTCTCAAAAACCTTCGCAATTTGACTCTAGTCAACAACGGCTTTACAAATATTTTAGACTTAACCCCCGCATTCAAACCAACAATTTTACCAGCACTAAGAAGTTTAGATTTGTCACAAAATTCTTTAGAAAGAATACCGGAAACCACTTTCCATGTTATGAGAGGAACGTCGCTAAAAAGACTCGAAATTAATCTATGCAGGTTGGAATTTATACATCCTAATAGTTTTGAGCCATTATTAATGTTAAAAGAATTGATAATAGGCGAAAACGACCTCAATTCAAGTTTGATTGGAAACTTATTAACAAAAATGATAGAGAAGGATATAAATTTAATCCATCTCGACTTATCTGGGATGGGTTTCCGTAAACAGCCGCCGAGAGCTTTGTTAAATATCATCGCAAACTCGACCGTAGAGAGACTTATCCTTGCTGAAAATCAATTCGAGATAATCACCGACGACTCATTTCCTGCAATGGTCAACTTGGAAGTATTGGATCTGAGGAAGGTGCTAGCAATATCGATAGGCCCGAACGCCTTTGAACCTTTAAAATTTCCAAACCTACGTGTCCTACTATTAGGCGGTAATAATTTGCCTGGAATACACCAAAAACATATTTCAAATCAGCAATTGTTACTTCTAGATTTGTCTTCAAATAAAGGTAGCTCCATCAGTCCAATGTATTATGAAATCGACAGAGATGCTTTTACATACTGCAAAAGGCTGCAAGTACTGAACCTAGCATACAATAGAATTAAATCAGTATTTGACTACACTTTCCGTGGTTTGGATAACCTGAAAATTTTAAGTATGGAAAATGGAACCTTGTACCATATCGGAGATAAAACTTTTGAACCGATGAGACATTTGGAAATGCTCAACCTGGCCAACAACCCCCTCACGGCAAATGAAAACTTAACTAGTGTTCAGTTTGAAGGTTTGAATGAGTTAAAAATATTGATTCTCACAAATTGTGGCATCAAACGTCTCTACGACGAGGATAACATATTTGAAATGATGCCAAACCTGACGCATTTAATTCTAAGAAACAATCAGATGTATTATATAACGGCCGAAACACTAAAACCATTAAAGAATCTGCAGGTGCTAGACTTAAGCGAGAATCTTTTGATATCGTGGTGGAAATCGCTGTTTCTAGCGGCTGGGGTTCGCCCGCTTAATCTTTACTTGACTAACAATAAAATATCTCACTTCACTATAA